ATTTTTTGTCAAAAGTCTTGATAAAGTGTTGATGCTGAAGAAATTGTTCAGTATGGTCATGGCTTAAATTTTCAAACATCAATCCACTTTTGAATTTATCTCTGGTGGTATTGTATGTACAATTATATGTCCTTATTTAAAAGTGGGTTGCCTGCATTTAGAGTATTTTGCAGTACGGTTTGGTCACAGGCAATTAAATTGTGATGCTAAATGGCAGTCTGCAACTAGTAAATGAAAACAGTGCTTTGTTTATTCTGATGGCAGTTTTAAAAATGCAGCTTAATAACCATGTTCACTAATTAATCTAAAAGTAATTAATGAACTTTTGACTCATATTTATTTCTAATTTGTTTTCTCTTAAAGAGAAAATGCATGTCTAGAAATATAGTTAAGATCTCTTTAAATCTTTTAGCTTCTCTTTGACTAATTACTGATACCACTAATTTATACATTTATATGGAAAGTAGTTTTCTGTTCTTTTCACATAAATTATATGCTAAATGCACTGTTTTTGTTTTGTTTTTCTTTCTTTTTATTAAGAAATTTTCTATTCATTTTACATACCAACCACAGATCCCTCTCTCCTCCCTCCTCCTGCCCCCCCACACACAGCCTACCCCTTCCAGTCCACCTCCCATTTCCACCTCCTCCAAGGCAAGGCCTCCCATGGGAAGTCAGCAGAGCCTGGTGCATTCAGTAGAGACAAGTCCAAGCCCCTCCCCCTGTACCTTACAAGGCTGTGTAAGGTGTCCCACCATAGGCACTGGGCTCCAAAAAGCCCACTCATGCACCAGGGACAGATCCTGATCCCACTGCTAGGGGGCCCCTTAAGCAGGTCAAGGTACACAACTATTTTGCCTATGGAGAAGACCTAGTCCAGTCCCATGGAGGCTCCACACCTATTAGTCCACAGTTCATGAGTTCCCACTAGTTTGATTTGGTTGTCTCTGTAGATTTCCCCATCATGATCTTGATGCCCCTTGCTCATAGAATCCCTCTTCTCTCTCAGTTGGACTCCTGGAGTTTGGCCTGGTGCTTGGCTGTGGCTCTCTGCATCTGCTTCCATCAGTTACTGGATGAATGCTCTATGATGACAGTTAGGGTATTCGCCAATCTGATTACCAGAGTAGGCCGGTTCAGGCACCCTCTCCATTATTGCTAGTAGTTTAAGGTGGGGTCATCCTTGTGTATTCCTGGGAACTTACCTAGCACCCTGTTTCTCCCTATCCCCATGATGTCTCCCTCTATCATGGTATCTCTTACCTTGCTCTTCCACTCCATCCTTGTCCCAACTCGACCATCCCGTTCCCTTATGTTCTCATCCTCCATCCCCTACCTCCCATCCCCCCCCCACCTCCAGTTTATTCATAGATGTCTCATCTATTTCCCCTTCCCAGGGTGATCCATGTGTCCCTCTTAGAGTTCTTCTTATTAGCTCTGGAGCTGTGGGTTGTAGTCTGGTTATCCTTTGCTTTAAATCTAGTATCCACTTATGAGTGAGTACATACCATGTTTGCCCTTCTGAGTCTGGATTACCTCACTCAGGATGATATTTTCCAGTTCCATCCATTTGCCTGCAAATTTTATGGTGTCATTGTTTTTCACTGCTGAGTAGTACTCCATTATGTATATGTGCCACATTTTCTTTATCCATTCTTCGGTTGAGGGGCATTCTAGGTTGTTTCTAGGTTCTGGCTATTACGAATAATGCTGCTATGAACATAGTTGAGCATGTGTCCTTGTGGTATAATTGAGCATCTTTTGGGTATATGCCCAAGAGTAGTATATCTGGGTCTTGAGGGAAGATTTATTACCAATTTTCTGAGAAACTGCAATACTGATTTCTAAAGTGGCTGTACAAGTTTACACTCCCACCAACAGTGTAGGAGTGTTCCCCTTGTTCCACATCCTCTCCAACATAAGCTGTTATCAATGTTTTTGATCATAGCCATTCTGACAGGTGTAAGATGGTATCTCAGAGTCGTTTTGATTTGTATCTCCCTGGTGACTAAGGATGTTGAGCAATTCCTTAAATGTCTTGGCTATTTGAGATTCTTCTGTTGAGTTCTCTGTTTAGCTCTATAAGCCCATTTTTTAATTGGATTGTTTGTTATTTTGATGTCTAGTTTCTTGAGTTCTTTATATATTTTGGAGATCAGCCCTCTGTCAGATGTGGGGTTGGTGAAGATCTTTTCCCATTCTGTAGGCTGTTGCTTTGTCTTGTTGACAAATGCACTGTTTTTAATTATAAATATTTGAAATACCTACTAATGTTGAAAATGCACATGGACCATTGTCTAGCACTTTGACTTGTAGGCATAAATTAGAGAAGGTCCTTATAACTTGAACATGAAGTGACACACAGTAAGGTGCTTATGTCATTGCTGTCACTAAGAAGGATAATTAGCCATGGATACTAACAGGTGAATGGAAAGTAAACTATAATATATTAAGAGAGAATGAAGTGTTGCTTCTTCAGGTATATCATCATGAGAGCATAGAGAACACATAGTTCTTATCTACTGGATTTGTCATTAGTATTTTAGATATGTACATACAAGTAGATGGATCCACCATTTGACAACTTATAAACTATCCCTAGGATCAAGAAATTGCTCTGTCTCCATTTCTCATCTTCCCAAGCTGTCCTCCTTACCGACTGTTCTTACTACAATTTTCTTTTCCAGTTCAGACAGTACTAGGAGTGACATTTTTCCCCCATCCTAGAAAGAGGGAATGCTCTATTGCTGTTTGAGAGGTATAGTATCCTGTAGCATTTTTTAAGAACTAAGTAGAAGTGATTAGATTGAGGAGAAATACAAGGTTTTGGTGAAAACTAAGCATAAAATTAGGCTGAATGGGTAAACTAGTCTAGATAGTTGAAATAACAACTTTTATGTAGCAGGAACTTCCTTTCCCCCCTTTACTCTTCTGATTTAAGTGTTCTAACCTATAACTCACCACTAAGTTGCTTCCAGATTTTCAATTTTTTCTTTAGCAAATAAAATATTTATCACTCTGAGTAAAATAGATATGCTGGCTGTGTAACTGTAGCAACTAGAAGGTGGCCTACTAAATAGTGAATAATGCATATAAACAATGCTGTAATGGAAACCTAGAATGATGACAATCCATCAAGTCCGAATTATGTCTCGAGTGATTGGCTGATTCCTAAGATTTGAAAAGCATCAGTATGACTATGAGGGGAGAAGAGTAGCAGCAGTCCTCTGGGCAAAAGAAGACAACTGAAGTACGGAACCTTAGAAATGAGGAAACAGCATAGAGCTTCCCAGATGGAGTTCCCTACTCCCCAACCCTTTGTGCTCCACTCTCCACACACCATCGATGCCTTATAAAGATGAAATCTTGTCAGTCTGCTGGAATCCTCCAGTGACTTCCTGTCTCCTTCAGAATAATACTCAGCATTGAAACCATGGCCATGTGGCCCTGTATAGCTTCTGCTACATTTCTGATCTTACCTCAGTTTTAGCCTACTTATGCTACTCAAGCCATACTTAGCTTCTGGTATTCCTCTATAACTTCAAGCAATTTTATACGGCAGTCCTTCTGTACAAACCATCCCATCTAGATCCTTATCCAGTACATCTGCTTGCTTGTTCTCAATCTCATCTTATTCAAGATCCTATTAAATAACAGTCCTATACCAGTAACATAAAGCTGCCTCTCATGCTGGGTGTGGTTGTCAATACCTATAACCCTAGCACTCAGAAGACTAAGGCAGGAGATCACAAGTTAGAGGTCAGCCTGGGCTAGTCAGTAAGTTCTAGGCTAGCCTTTTCTAGATAGTAAGTCTACCTATAAGAAAATAAATAAAAGATGTACATGAATATGTGGGCACAAGTGCTTGATCCCCTCAGCCCAACCTCCATTACTTTATCAGCTTGTTCTGCAGTGGCTTCCTAGGCAGCACTGTTGTCATTGTGGTAGCATTGTGCAGACTGGATTGTCTTACTTGATACTAAGCACCATGAGAATGGGCACTTTGCACGATTTTCTTTCTTTGTGTGTGTGTGTGTGTGTGTGTGTGTGTGTGTGTGAGTGTGTGTGTGTGTATGTGTGCTGCCATTCAATCATATTGCTTTATACATTATAAGCATGCATTGCATGATTATTTCTACAGAGGAGGTTATGAATATGGTGTTTTGTTCATTCTTTGTGTTTCTTGAGACAATTATATACTTGGATTGATTTAGTTACTGTAAAAGTCAGTCAATTTTCTCTAACTTTGTTGGGTTTTGAGTATACTTTTAAGCTGATATTTTTTCTTCCATGATTCCTTTCCAGAGGCTTAACTTTCAGTTTTCAAGCAGATAGAAAGATGTGTCTTCTTGGCATTGTTTGTTGTTGGATTTTAAGTTAATCGTGTATTTATTCTGTGCTGGCCTTGTCCCCTTAACAATTTCTGAATCAGTTAAGTTTTTATTTGTGAAAATTCAATGTTGTATCTGTGATAGCTACATTTTAATAAAAAATACTGGAAAGTTTGTTTTATAACCATTGTCTTTCCTAGTTCTATATTATTATATATAGTTTCTTTATCTAGTCTTAGATATAGTGTAGGCACAGATTCAATTCTTGTACATTTCAGCAGTTTACAGTAGTAGATAAGTAATTACGCACTTCTCACTCATAACTCCTCTTTGCATTGCTTTGGATTTCCCAAAGTGCCAGCCTTGAGGGAAAACAGTCATGAGACTGATGAGCTGTCAAGTTGACTTCACACTGCAGAATGGTGGGGAAGTGACCAAAAGATGATTTTAAACAAATCGTGTTTGTTCTTTTCTCTATACCACCTGGCAGTACCAGCTCTCCTCTCCCTCTTCCTTATGTAGTGCCTTCCCAGTCATGGCCTGTTCCTAAAACAGAATGAAATAAGTGTTTAATTGATATCATTAGTACATCAGCAGAATAGGGTAGGAAAATATAAGGCCTGCTGTTCTATTGCAAATATAAAAATGTTTCTCTTGCAATAATTATAGGGGATGGAGTGTTAGATCTCTCTACAAAGAAAACCAGCATAAAATCTGAAGAATCGTCCATATGTGATCCTTCTTCTGAAAATGCAGTTGCTGGGTAAGCAATATCTAGGAAATATGATTCAATATTAATATAAATGACCTCTTGCAGAGAATACTTAATACTGTGCTGAGTAGGACTGACATAGTTTTCCTTCAGAATTTTTGTCACTCATAAGTTTGTCTCTCATAATTTCATTTGTCCTTTCTCTTTCTTTTTTCTTTCTGTTAAAGAAAAGTTATCAGAACAATCACCAAACTTCAATTCATGTTACTAAAATGAACTATCAATTTAATCATGGGATACAAACTAAGAAGCAGGACAAGTGAGAGAACTTGAAATACTCAAGAGACAATTTTAAGGGAAATATGTAATTTTAATAATTAGTTTTTTAAAATAATGAACCATTTCTAAAAGTGCTGTAGTTACTAATTCTAAAACTAGCATATATGTTTACAGTTTTTGCTTTAGTGTGGTGGCAACAACTTAATATTCGTCTAGTAATCACCACAGAAAGTCCTTTCAGTCTTTAAAACTATCACTAAATTAATTTAAATAAATAATTACTAGTGAAATACTGCTCTGTTGGATTTTGGGGGTTTTTATAACTTTTGCATCTTCTCATGAACTGCATAGAAATCTTTTTTGTCCCATTGAAATCTGAGATAAATGTATTTCAACTAAGGCTGTAATAGAGCTGGAGTCATAGGCGTAACAGACTTTAGAAGATTAGAGAGTTGCATTTGAAATAGAGTAACATTCTAAAATGAAATTATTCATATACATCTTTTTTCAGATTTTAAGTTTTTATGTAGAGGAAAATGAGTCTGGAACTGAGATGTCTGTGTTTGGAAGTATTCTTGCTGCTACAAATTTCCTTTAAATGGGTTGACTCTTTTATTACTTGTTTAGTGGTAACGTCACGTTTCTACTAACAAAAACTCCCTTAGGATTTGGGTATTTTTATAATGGAACTCGAATCGTAAATAAAAATTATGTGTTGCTCTGCAAGCAGCTTTCAGAGGAAAAGCAACATCATGAGAATATATTTACAATACTCAGTTAGGATTTTATGTTCTTGGAAGGTCTGCCCATTGAGGCCACCGTATGTATCATTGACACATTGTCCTACCAGGACTGTAGCGTTTGCTTTGATAAGGAGTAACTACTACATCCCACAGACCTAACGTGTCTTAAGCAGTGATGTTACCTAAGCAAGGAGTATAATAAAGGAGTGGACCCTCCCCTTCCATAGCTGTGTGAGAGTCTCTCATACATCAGTTTACCATCGTTTCATTCCATCCATCCAGGAGACTACACAGAAACAGAGAGGACTATGTGGAAAGAAGTGCTGAGTTTGCAGATGGTTTGCTCTCAAAAGCTTTGAAAGACATTCAGTCTGGAGCACTGGACATAAATAAAGCAGGCATACTTTATGGCATACCTCAAAAAACTTTACTTCTCCACTTAGAAGCCTTACCAGCAGGGAAGCCTGCATCTTTTAAAAACAAAACTCGAGATTTCAATGATAGTTACTCATATAAAGACAGTAAAGACACTTGTGCTGTGCTGCAAAAAGTAGCCTTGTGGGCAAGAGCTCAAGCAGAGCGCACAGAAAAAAGTAAACTCAACCTACTTGAAACCTCAGAATTAAAATTCCCAACAGCTTCCAGTTACCTCCATCAGTTAACTCTACAGAAAATGGTTACTCAGTTTAAAGAAAAAAATGAAAGCCTTCAATATGAAACTTCAAATCCTCCTGTACAGTTAAAAATTCCTCAGCTACGAGTAAATTCAGTCTCAAAATCACAACCTGATGGTTCTGGTCTGCTGGATGTCATGTATCAAGTTTCCAAAACCTCTTCAGTCCTTGAAGGATCAGCTCTCCAAAAACTGAAAAATATACTCCCTAAACAGAACAAAATAGAATGTTCTGGGCCTGTAACTCACTCAAGTGTTGACTCTTACTTTCTACACGGGGACCTCTCTCCTTTGTGTCTTAATTCTAAAAATGGAACAATTGATGGAACCTCCGAGAACACTGAAGATGGACTGGACCGGAAAGATAATAAGCAGCCCAGGAAAAAACGTGGCCGCTATCGGCAGTATGATCATGAAATAATGGAAGAGGCCATTGCAATGGTAATGAGTGGAAAAATGAGTGTTTCCAAAGCACAAGGAATTTATGGGGTACCTCACAGCACTTTAGAATACAAGGTAAAGGAAAGATCTGGAACACTGAAGACTCCTCCGAAGAAGAAACTACGATTACCAGACACTGGGTTATATATGACAGATTCAGGGACTGGCAGCTGCAGAAACAGCAGCAAGCCTGTGTAGATTACTGTTAGAGAAGGGGTGTGTGTGTGTGTGTGTGTGTGTGTGTGTGTGTGTGTGTGTGTGTGTGCGCGCACAGGTGTGCGTGTGTGAGTGCATGTGTGTGTGTATGTGTGTGTGTAGCTACATACACACATGGAAATTACAAATGCTCACTCTGACAGGAGACATGAAATTTTACAGTTCAAAAACCACTTACATGCCTTTTGAAAAAGTTTTATTCAGGGTTTTCACTGTGGACAGAATTATAGAGTTGCTTATTAATTCTGATAGTTTGTATTTAATCCTTGTATAAATAGGTGAAAAAAGATTCAGGTTTTCTTTAGTAGTCAATAGCATAAAATGTGGGAAAACGAGTAATTGTCAAGTGAAACATTTTTTATTGGTAAAAGAACATTCTAGCCATTCAGTTGAACCATCTTTTAATGGAAATATGATAATAGTTTGTGAACACTTTTGTGTAACATACCTAAAAGTACTGTGAGTATGTCAAAGAACCAATCAAAGTTAAATAGTTATCTCTGTACCAAGAGTAACTAATAGATACAGTATTAATACACTACAGTGCATTCTATGAAATACAAAATGCACTAGAGTGCATCCACCAGGATAAAGAAAACCTTAAAGGATATGTATAGTAAAATTTAATATTTATCATTTAATGGTTGATTTAGCAGGAAGTTGGGGTTATAAGTATATAATTTAAATTTAAAAAACTGACATAGTTAACCCCAGCAGCTATAGAATCCTTTAATATAAGATGGAATACTAAAAACAAAAAGTAACTTAAATTTAATTATTAAAGTAATTTAATTTTGTTTTTCATTTGAAAAATAAGCTAATGTGTAAGGTTAGAAAAGAAAGTTGGAATGCAATTTAGAGCATGTTTATAATGTGCACAGAACAAGCTTGAGAATGGTCATTTTGGTTAAATGTGCTGGTTAGTTGATGTTATGACTACTTTAAGGATTGTGACACACTCCTGTTGAAAAACCTCAGTGTAACTTTAATATATTTGCTGCTGTGACATTTCAAAACATTTCAGTTTATCAAAATGAATTACAGATTTCATTTTGGTGGGTGATACATTATCATTTTGCTAATAACCAAATTTGCAGTTTGTTCAGGGTCTTGAATAGATTTACAGATATTTAACACTGAAGCTGTTTTGAACTTTCAGTAATGTAAACTCTTTACTAATTGGATAGTTAGAAGCTGGGCAGTGCATTTTAACTTTTACTACTCAAATGAGACCAGTAATTTTTATAAAACAGTTTTAAAAATATGGGTCAGAGTATTCATATGGGTTTATGGCGTATGCAGTTTTGGTAGTAAAATGTAATAAAGCATGTACCTCCATGTAAAAAATGGAGATTTGCTTTATAGATGAGAATCCTCCACAGTGCCCCTTTTCTCTGTTAGAATTCAGGTTCTGGTCATTTTCCTAAGCCACTTTTTCTAAATCCAAAAGGAATTCTTACAGCTGAATTTAAAAAAATGAGTGCACCTTGTCAAATACTTGTGTTTTACACTTGTGTTTGTGTGTGTTTAGTAATCACATGAACATGTGATTGTTCAGCTACTAAACTTTAAAACTGCTTACATGTATTTAAAGAAACTGAAAATAAGAAACTATATAACCAGGTAATCACTTGGTCTCTGAGATCTGTATTGAACATGTTCAGCTGTCAATGTTACCTGCATACTAGGGTATGAATCCTCTTTATCTTTTTCTTCCCCCAAGAAAATATACATAATAGATTACAAGACAGCATTTGTCAGGGTCATCTTTCTTTTTAAAGAATTAAGCCATATTTTGTGAGGACCGGAACATGGATTATTTATTATATTTCCCCCTCTTCCCATTGAAAAACAAAGTTAAAAGTAAATGCTTCAAAAACAATTTTCTTGACCTCTTTATATAGAATTTTACTTGCAAAACTTTGGAAGCTCGAATGCATTACATAATATTTATATTGTATTGAGCTTTTTTATTCCTCACACTATATTTACATTGATAAATTGATTGAGAAGTTTATAGTAAAGGGAAACTTACAGAACACTTTTATATCATTTAAAAGATGACCTGACCAAAAACTTTACAGGATTCATATATCAGGGATCATTTTGCTATTGACTTCACAGTGATCAGTAGTTTTATAGGTAATATTATAGTTAATTTGCAGCATTTTAGTACTTGTATTATTTATTTTTGGTCAAATAGTAAATTAAAATATTTTTTGATAGTTTATAGGTAATGATCAACCCATAACTTTTAAAAGAAACATAATGTTTGTATTACTGAGTTGACTTTTTGATTATACAAACTAGGAAAGGCAGGGAAGTTTATGGGTTCCCCTCTCCCCACTGGTTCTATTAAGATGTCCTTTATGTTAAACTTTCAAAGTACTTTATAAATTTAGTTACCAGTTACTACTTATTTGACAGATTTTGAAAAGTTCAGTTTCAGCTGACTTTTAATGAATATGAAAGCAACCCTTATGTGCTTTCTACTTATTTGAATGTTCCTCGAGTATTTTATATTTAAAATAAAAAAGAAGGAAAAGAAAAAAACAGTGCCTCTGTTTTTAGAAAACTACTGCTCAGTAAAGTTGTTTAAACCATTTCTGGTAGCTGATGACAATTTTATATTAAACTGTATACTGACTTTAGTGAGACTGATTTTTTTTTAGTTGTTTACAGTGCAGATACTTGTGTTTGTTTTTTAATTGCAGTATTTCCATTGTCGCAGTAATTTAGTAAAACTCTGTGGCTGCCTTGATTTTGACAGATTTTGTTAATATAAACTGATTGTTAGGCAATTAGTTATTTATGCATAAATCAATTGCACTATAATTCATGAATTATTTATTACAATATTTTCTAATGAATTCATGTATCTGTCTTGTGTTGTACATGTACTGTAATTTTGTTCCTACTTTGTGTTGTTATATATCTAAATCTGATTGTATGAATTTTAATTGTTGAGTTAACGTGTTTCTAGGTTGTAATTTGTAGTAAAGCACTTCAATGCTTTTGCACTTAAATTTACAACACTGTCGGTGTGTGGTTAATTTACTCATTCAGTAAAAGAAAAGTAAAACTTGACTACACTGAATTCTTTGATTTTTTTGTAAGGAGTTTGTTTTGTTTTGTTTTTTAACGGTATTAAAAATTGACTTTCAAAGAAATATTCAACAACAGATTTCTAAGGAAAAGGGCATAGTAACAAAAATGAGACGTTTGGGCTTGTAAACAAACAGGAAAAAATTAGAAAGAATTGATCTTAGAAAAAACATGAGAGCCAATTAGACTAAGGTGGCCTTTAATCTCAGCATTAGGAGGCAGAGGCTGATGGATCCCTATGAATTCTAGGCCAGTTTAATCTTCACAGTGAGGTCCATGCCAGCCAAAGCTGCATTGTGAGACTGTCTCAAAATTACAATTTTAAGCTCTTTATATAATTACTTGAGAATAAATTGTGGATTGGAGATTCACACATATGCCTCTTCACTCATTATGTTTTTCATTGAGATTCTAAGGTGGGGGGAAAAAAGCTTTGAAACCAAATAACACCATTTTAAAATTCTGTAATGTTTTAATTTCGTTGTCCACCATGGTATATAAGATAAAATCTAATATCTGAATATCTGATATAGTAATCTGTTGTTTATATTGCTAGGTGAGAATCAGTGACCACTGGTATTTTTCAACTTCCAGTATAAAAACTAGCAAACTGAAAAAACTCTTTCTTTAAAATAAAGATTTCCTTGAGATGTCAGAAAAGGCATATAGAAATCAGTGGCTTTCATAATTCTATGAGATTAATCAAATTGAAATTATAACAATTTTATATTACTTAATACTTGCTGCTTTTTTTAATCATTTCCACTTTGATAGGGCTTCCTTACCTGTATATTGGGAATTGCACCCTGGACTTTGGACATGTTAATAAGCACACACTCTCCCTCCCGGCTCCTCACTATGTCTGTACAGATCATTTCATGAACAGAAAAATGCCTTTGAGCACTGTAGGAACTATTAAAAGGATACTAACCTGTGAAATGTATAACATACTCTAAAAGTTTGTAAACTCTCCCACTTATTAAATATGCTTAACAGGCCTTAACATTATTTCATAAACTGTTCTAAGTATACTTCTTAGGTATGTTGGCTTTTCTTTTGCTTGTCTGAAATCATAAATTTGAATTGCTGGAAAAGGATAAGTTATTTCTTATCATCATATGCTCTACCATTATAAAATTAATTTTTAAAAATTTTTACGGAAAGGACTAATACTGGGGCTGTAGATCTTCTTTTGTCTAGAGGCAGCATTGAACTTAAAGATGTTTGTTACTTTTTACTCTGTTTGCTTCTATATGTCAAAACGTGTGCTAGTCTTACTAAAACATTTGTAAAATCTGATCATTCCTTTTTCTCAGTGAAGTTTGGATCATGTGGTTAGAACTTGCTTTGGTGCTTTTTACTACTCAGACTACATAATTGTATAAAACTCAATAAATTGTTGTGTATTATCTATAGAGGAGGTTATTCCAGTGTCAGGTAATAATATAAAAGTATTGATTTCACTGCTTATTTTAAAACAAAACCCCTTTCATTTTAAAAATATGAACATACTGTTTATTTTAAAAAACAACAACAGCACATTCTTTAGGTGGGTCAGTTATAAGTAGTCTACCCCAGTTAGAATCCTAAATAACCTTTTTTCAGACTAGGAAAAAGTGACAGGCATATCGGTTTAGGAGAGAAGGGCTGTTCCCACTCCAGAGTTTGGTGATGTTTCATTAAAATGGATACTTTTCTGAAACAGAATTCCTCTAATATATTTTATTCTTCTTGCTGCTGGTATTAAAAATACAGGCTTTTATATTGTTGATAAGCAATCCTGGGTCTTAGTTAAAGTCAGATGTGTATTAGTTTCTGTGGTGGGGCATTTTCTAGCATTTGAAATTTAATAATTAGGTAAGTAGTACCTTTAGTTTTCCTATGCTTTTTCATAGTTTTTAAAATCAGTTAAAAGTAGATTTAATTTTTAAATAGCTTCTTTTTTCTTTTATATTCTTCCTAGGTTAAAATGCCTGCAGCTTAATCTCAGAAAAAGATACTCTTTTATTTATATTAAATCTAAATTTGATAACTTTCTTCATGATTATGCAAGAGCTCTCTTAATATTAAATTTCTTTTTTACTACCTACCAAAGTATTTTAAATAAAAATAAGATTTTACTCCTTATCTTCCTTATTTGCACTAACATGGACTTATAATTATAAAATATGGCAAAGTATCCTACATTACAAAAATTTTTATTCCTTCTGAAGCACTTTTCATTAAAGATTATTAATATATCCAAAATTCTTACTATCAGCAATGTGTTAATGTAATAACGTGTAATCATCAGCTTTTGTATTGCAAAAGGCCTTGCTTTGACTCCTGTACTGTGTCATAGGAAATTACTTACCAGTGCTTCATACTGTTTCTGCTAAACAATAACCCAGATGACCTTGCAGTTCCGTCTATAGGAGTCAGGAGTCCAGCAATACCAAAATACGTCATTCAAACGCTGTCAAGAACTATAAATCCTTATCATGGTATCTTTGCTGTAATTCATTTTTTGTTTGATTTTTATTTTTAGTTCAACTGTTGATGCAAAATCAGAGGAAGCTACTAAAATGGAAAAAGGAAACTCAGCATTAAGCAAAGTTTTGGAATCTTTGTGCATACATCACCATCAACAAGTTTTGGCTATGTTGAAATTTCTAGTCCAAGAGCAGAATGCTGCTTCTATTTGCTGTTGTAATTCATCATGTACTGTGTCTTCAGAATCTCAAAAACCCCTATTGGAAGATGATTTACATGGTCTGTTCTGTAGCTGTGAATATAGACTGGCAGAAAGAGATTGTTTACACAATGAGAGACAAAGCCCTGGTTTGGTGCCTCTGCCAGTCTGTATTAAAGAATTTCATTGTTTGTCTTGTCAAACTGTAACTGTTGAACACATTAAGACAGTAATGAATAGAGGTACTGAAAACAGTTATAATCCACACAGGTGCTGTTGTGGACAGTTAGCAAAGAATCACTCTGCAAAATCAGCCTTTCATAGTCCTCCTTTGTCGAGACAAGTTTGTGATCTTTCAGTCAGTCTTAAAGATGCCTGTAGATCTCGAAGTCCCTCACCCCCACCATTATCACCTGTGGAGACTGGAGGATTTGAAAAGTGGAAAGACATCGTCTCCGAGCTTTCATCCTTAGAAAGTAACAAACTTGAGACAAGCATTAACCAACCTCCATCTCTCATACCAGCCGAGATAAGCATTCACAGATGTGGCCATGACAGCAAAATAAATAAAACTAAGAAGTCCAGTAACTCTGATTCTGTGCTCTTGGATGCCAGCAGTAATGATACCACAAATCATGAAAAGGGTGAAACAGCTGTAATTTTTCAAGATTTAATGGATCGGATTAATGAAAAATTAAAATCAATAGAAACCACAGATACATCAAACCTCATAAAATTATCTAGCACTGATTGTGATTCAGATAGTGATTTTAAATTGGGAGATTTAATAACATCTCTTTTGCACAGTGCAACAGCCAGTGATTATAGTTTTATGGAATTACTGAGTCAACATGATAAAAAGGTAGAAAATAAAATTATTCAGACAAGATTTCGAAAACGTCAACAAACCTTATTTGCAATGCACAACTCTCCTGATTCACCTGTGATCAGAAGGCAGTCTTTACAGATAAAAAGAGAGCTTGCTAGTCTTGATGAAAATTTTCTGAGAAAAAGGTACAGTGAAAAAAATTCAAGAAAATTGTCATGCAATGATAAGATGCTTTTACTGAACAAAGAATTCCAGCCTTGTCAAGAACCTTTAAAAAATTCTAAGAGCTTTCAAGATGAAAATCATGCAGAAACACAATCTTCACCAAATGATGTAGCACCTCTTGAGAGTTTTGACACTAACACGACTTTTGATCAATTTTCAGAAAACTTTAAAGCAACTTCATCTGAGAAAATGAGCCAGAGAAAATCACTAGAGAAATGTACAGCTGAAAAACTAATTGTACAAAATAACAGGGAAAAAGCAAAAGTAGAAAATACTCAAACACTTTTGAGAACTGATGCTCCTGGTCTTTTGAGCAGAACTAAACGAAATATTGTGCCACCAGGGTGGTATTCTATATATGTAACAAACAATTCTGTTTCCAAAAAAATCCTCGAGGGCAGAAGAGTATCAGACTCTGCTCACAGCAAAGATCCAGTCAGAGATGCAACCGAAAGTCTCCAAAATAGAGACTTAAACAAAATTGCAATGAATTCTAACTTGCAAGTTGTTGTGGAGCGTTTGGAAGACACAATAAATATGGCTCAGAGGTCTTGGACTAATCAAGCACTGTCTGAAGGATGTAAAGCCTCCAAGAAATTGATAGAAACAGATGGTAAAGACCAAAATGCTGGGACAGATTTGACTTGTACTTTAAGCAGAATGGCTTGTAAAAATCAGGATTTATCAAAATCTGTAATAGCATCTAGCAATAAAAGAAGTTATGGGATGCCTGTAATGAATTTGAACAAGAGACTTGATAATGCAAAGACAGCACCCAGTGTTGAAAGTGTGCCAACAAAATGTGAAGGAACTGAAAGTTCTGTTTCTAACTATTCTAGTCCTATCAAACTCATGTTTTTATCGGAGATTAAAAGCAGTGAAGGAGTCAAATACACTTTAACTTCAGTCAGCACATCCCAGTCAAATGCTGAGTTTGCTTCTCACAAACATAAAACCCATCAAGTAATTGGAAGGAAAAGAGAAGCAAAGGAAGACATACCAAATACTAGCTTTGAAGATTATAGTTCTAATCATGATATTAACTGCCTTCAAATCAAATTAAACAAATTTAACTGTGTACAAGAGGCTACACCATCATCTGCAGAGTTTACTGACAGTTTAAACAGTGATAAGCCACAAGAAGACTCTGAGGGAAAGTCAAGTGGTGCTATTGATTTACCATATAAAAGAAAGCCAGGTAGGCCTAAAAAAATTGGCCCCCAAGTTGTGAAACAGATTAAACGGCCAATTGGAAGACCACCCAAACCTAAAGCTGGTCTAACAGATGTCAGTGTTGGCCAAAATGAGTCTTTTAGTTCTGGGAAGAAAAGTCCAGAATCTCTATCAGAAGTAAAAGAAGGCATTTATGGAAAGAGTATTATTGTCACTGTTGTTTATGGAAGGTCAAGAAGAACCAAGAGATGTGTTTCTGAAGGAAGCATGAATATCAGTAACATCTCACTGAACCATGATGTCGCTGACTTTGCAGTGAACTCTAGTAGCCTCAGAAATACTGGAGAATATGAGACTGGCTCTGGTGAAAGTCTAAGTGCTGTGTCAAGATTGACAACTGAAAGTAAGGTTTTCCATTCTGACTTTGAATATGTCAGACCCATCAAGAGCAAGTCTGTGATCCTTCAGGCTTCCAAGAACATTATTCAACCAAATCAAAAGCCTTTGTCAATTGTTAGGAAGCCTGGTAGACCTGCAAAAGTGAAAATCTCTGGTATATCTGTGACTGTTAGTAGAATTTCACCTCAGGAAAGAGAAGTATGTCTTAGTAGCTGCTTGCCTCCTTTAGAACAGGAGTCTGTGTTAGAGAAATGCCAAGAAGAAAAGCTTGACCAACAGTGCAACAGTAAGGTAGATAAGATCAGGCACACCAATGTTGACATATTTAAGAATGAACCAAATAGTAATACTATTGCTTCTATACCTCCAAAACATTCGATTAGGTCTAGAAAACCTTTGCATTTCTTACATTCACTTGCATCTTCTGGCTCTCTTACTTATAAAAATGCTCTGCGTCATAAATCATGTAAACTCCATTTGCAGAAATGCAAAAGTCCAAGGAAAAAATATAGGCAGTCAAGTTTTAAACTAGCTTCCAAAGGTATTCCAGGATCTAGACGTTCAAGGAAAGCAGAAAAATGTTTGGAAGGTAAAAAATTAATGCCCATTTCTGAAGTATCCTTGGACCCTGTTATTTCATCCAATCCTTTACTCAGGTGGTGGACTACTTCTGTTTCAGATGATTCCTTATTAGAGGAGTTGAACAATAGATTTGAACAGATAACAAACGCGTGGGTGCAGGTGAACAGAGATGAAGCTCAGACTTCTGTCCACGTAGCAGAACACACTGAAGGTGCTGGTTTCAAAGCAGCAAACCCTCTGGAAACCCGTCTTCTAGAACTTGAAGTCTCCCCTGTCAAAATGCTCTTTCAGAAAAAGTATAATTTGAATGAACTTTGTACCTGGTTTATGCAAACAACAGAAACACAGTCCCTTTCACTCGTTAGAAAAGCAAATGCTCGAAACCCTTTGGAAGTGATAAATACCAAGAGCATTAAGTTAGGGATGAAATGCTGTGGGTTTAATGCTAGCCCCTTCAGGAAGCACTTTAAAAAATTTGCAGTCTCCTCTCCTTCAAAGTCAGCAGGGAAGTTCCACATACTTCATAAAATGATTGGCTCACCACTCTTAAATGTGAAAAGAAATTTCACACTAGCTAGGTTGAAAAGGACTGAGTTTAAGAGTTTGCACTGTGAAAGGTGGAGAAGAGAGGAAAAGCCACACAGTCACAGAACAGTTGATTGGAACTCAAAAAGAAGGAACTTAAGATTTTTCTGCCAGAATCAGGTTTTGACTAAGAGAGGGGGAGAGACAAATGCAGAGACATCATCACTCAGTGGGAAAAGCACAGTAGGTAAGCAATGGGCCTCACCACCAGAAACAAGAGTGGATTTTCCTCAGGAGAGGGCAGCAGTTCATGATGCCACAACACATGCTAGTTTAGAGAGTAAAGTCAAGTCAGAAACAAAGGAGAATGGAGCAGGGAGTGGCCAGATGGATTCTGAAAAGGGACAAAGACTAGAAAATGTGTTTTCCAATAATTGGAGGTCAAAAACTTTAAAAGACTGTAGAATATTTTTGAGGAAGATCAACTGTCTTGAACACAGAAATACTTTTAAGCTAAATACAATCATTTATTCTCCTGAACCTGTTGACAGTGGAGGTAATCAGGTGCAAGGAGAATCAAAGCGTTTTAATTTAAGATCCCATTCAGCAAGGCAAAATTCCTTTAAAAAGCAAAATAAAGAGAGAGAAAATGTCAAAGCAAATAGTCCTGCAAGTGATATACAGACTGATGAACTTGGCAGTAGTCAGTTAAATAAGCGTGTTAATTTTGACAAGAATCCTGATAATTCTGAGGCTCTTAGCAAATTAAACAAGAGAAAAAGACCACCATGGAAGACCACAGAAATGTCAGCTAAAAGACATAAAGGACAGTCTTGCAACAGTGGACAAATGGCAAAATATTGTACAAAATCCCAAGTAGGTAAGTTTTTCTCTCCTTAATCTTAAAGTTTCATTGTAGGTGCCTTGAGTAAAGCATAAGCTAGCGGGTAGAAAAGGAACAGCTAATTCTTCTAATTTATTTCTAAAATATTTGAACAACCTCATTTCTTGGCACCTAGTATGAAACTCATGAAATTAGGTGCTGCTAGGTGTGGTGCACTTGGCCACTCGGTGTCAAACACAAGCAAATACATTAGAAGAGACATGAAGATCTTCATGAAAATAGGCCATGAATGTATTTGACAGATGGCTATGAACAGCTAACTAAAAATTCACTACTGCAGGCTAATGCATGCTTATTCTCCTCAAAAATAACTATGATAATATACAGAAAATAGCTAAGACTGTCTCATTTAAAGACTATAACACTGTAATCCTAGGGTGTAAATCTTCCCCATTAAACTTACTCCATTTTGATGCTGCTTTGAAAACCTGCTACAAGACTGCTTATTTAGAAAGCAGTACACTAAAATTTTTCCAATGATCAGCAAGTATGTTAAGTGGACTTCTGTGAATCAGACATTGAGCTCACTTGTGCAGATATAAAGAGGAGAATCCCATTATGTAGCTGATCAAGTCACTATTAGGGTCATGTCACATTGAGAATGCAGACAGACTAAATGGTAGTGAGATACCTTATTAAGTTACACTGACCTAGCATGGGTATGCTAGGGAGATTATTGCCCTTTTGAATGTAATGAAGTGATAATATGAATATGGTAGTTGCCAGAATTGGTAGTTGCCATTTCCATTTGCTTATCTGGTAGGTGCTGGACAGTTCAGGATATTAAAAGGATGGGAGACTATAAATTACTTCTTCACCATGAGAGAATGCCAGGTTATATTTAGAATATTTTATGGTTTGTGCTCATTTTTATATTGTATAATTTAGAGAAGTCTTTGAGGACTTAGGGAAGTATTAGTGTCTTACCAGAGTCAATAGCATCAGGTCTCATTGAAATGTTAAACGCAGCAATTAAGTTGAAAAATTTTAAATAGGCTAATGGTTTTTATGTGCCCCCCATTCAATTAGCTGAATAATTCTAACATGCGTAATTCAATACTATATAACATATAATGATTAAAATTTCAAATATCTAACTTGAAATGACTAAATGCTTAAAGGAGGTCTAAGATCTCCATTATGAAAAGTAAATGAAAACTAGAAAGAATAATTTGTTTGTGGTCCTTAAGAATACTAAAAATAACATTATAACAAATGCTATGTCAGGAAAATACCTATGAGCGAATTTTTAAGCTTATAATTTACCTAAAATATGTGTATAAGTTTCACAAAGAATAAAGTATAGTTTCATTTTTACTTGTTTCATCTTCATCTCATACTGTTAGAGATTTTCAAAAGGAATTTGCATGAATTCATTTTACAATAGAACCGTATTTTATCCTTGCAGCGTCTTACCCATGCTATTTCCTAACAATCAAACACAGTCTTACTTTAATATTATTCACCCTGCCAAATAGAAGATTACCCTAAAGCAGAAAGATGGAGAATAGTTCATAGTACTTTTGTGAATTAATTTTAAAATCCTTTTTGGGTATTTAAGAAAATTAATATCATATGAAGAGTTGTTTTTCATCTTTTCCATTTTAAAATTTGCTAGCACTGTTTCCTGTTCTGCTTAAAGTTTTATTCATCTTTACTGATAACTTTCCTTCTTTATTTTTAACATTCTTTTTTAATCAACAAGATCATTATTTTTATAAAATTGTATTTATAACAATATTTGTTATGTTTATGTGGTTTTTTAAATGTTTCCTACAGTGTTGTGTTTTTTTCTCATTATTCTTGGTAGTCCATACTTGTTTTTGCCTTTCTGGAAGTAACACTAAAACTCACCATTAGTTTTATATGTGTTTTTCTTTTTCATAGAATAATTAGTGACTGAAGACTTGAAAGACTGTTAACCACAGGACTTTTCTAGAAAAATTCTTGGGTGGTGTATATTACGAATTTTGAAATATTTCTATTGGTGAAAAAGAATTGTCTCTATCATGAATGCCTTGCCTTTGTACATATTAACTGTCCAGATGTGCTTAATACATGAGATCTCACTGCATTTGCCGTACTCTGTATTAAATGTAGACACAGGAAGAAAGGCAAGTGCAGTTCTATTCTTTTGTATTTCTCCTATTTAAGGAATGGTTACAATATGTTCTTAGTCAGTGTGGAAAGTTCAGGCAGTTCCATTTCATCTAAGTGAGAAAAAACATACACGTTTATATAAATAAAGTTATTTTATGTTGTAAACAGGAAACAGTGATTAATGTCATGGGCTTTGCTCTTAGAAAGCTAAGGTTTTTCTCATAGAAAACTGAATACATATTGAAAGCTGAGTAATGTGACTAGGAAGAAGTGACCTGATGGAACATGAAGGAGGAAATAGAACTCAGATGTATCCAACATTGCTACATGTGTAGTGAGACTTGAAAGAACCTCAGAAACAAGTAGTGGGAGGAGTTCAACTAGAACAAATTCCATGCAGCAAATTGGAGCAATAAAGAAAGTTGACTCATGTGGAACAGTGAGTAATTTGTCAGAGCTAAGGTACAACATAGGGAATATGCAGTGGTCAGTGTGAAGGTATCAAATCACAAAAGTCAGAATCACTGGAGGAGACATTAATTCAAATGGTGAGGTCAACATCAGGGAAAAGTTCTAAGCCCTAACAAGAAAAGTAGAAGATAAATTTTACAGAAGTCTATGAAATTAATCAGTGTCTTAGTAAAATAGAGGAATGAAGGGAAACATCAGAATTGAGCATCTAAGAACATTTCCAGGGTTTCACTTTTAGCTTTAGGGGTTTAGATGTAGTTAGTGGGATTTCTTAAAAAAGATGTTAAACAAGGTAGATAATGTGAATCCTGTCCAGAGATGAGACTTGAACCAAGACAAATTGGCAAATCAGTAGAAGTCTTTGGAGTAGAAGAGAGTGGTCCCTCAGGGTAAGACTGCAGGGTCCTAGGATCCGAGTCGCCCCAGGGTGCAGGAAATAGGTATGCATGAAATGAGACTGATGAAAGTAGTCAAGAGAGGAGAGGAGAGAGACTGAAGGAAAACACTGTTTTAGGAGAGGAGTCTAAGTTGTGCTTGAGTCAGTCATGATGACTGTTGAGATAGTTCTAGTGAGTGCATAAAGGGGCTAGCCTACTGGTAGAGAGAACACCTGTGTGGAGTAATAGACACAAAAGCCAACTTTAGTGTCAGATGCTAAGTGGTCAAAGGGGAAGTGAAGTAAATAACTACAGAAAACCAAGGAGCTGTGAGTAGACAAGAGGTAGAAAGGTAAGTAGCGTTTGCTGAGATTAAAGGTGAGGTTGAAAAAGTTTAAATGTCAAAGCCAATGAGAAGTAAAAAGGCTGAGTGTATGAAAATGAGAGGGAAGACCTGGGATTGGTTATTGAGTATAGGATCTGGGGGGGATTGTTAGAAGTTGTTCTTGACCAGAAGTTCCTATTTCTCTTCAAACGAAGTGGGGAAACAGTAGGTGGGGATACAAGTCAGTAACGCCTGGGCAAAATGTTGAGATATTACAGTTCATTTTTTTAAGACTCACAGTACTCTGGGGCTAGGGATGACTTAGTAAAGTATCTACTACGGAAGCATGAAGACATGAATTGGGATCCCCAGAATCTATACAAAATCTGGGTGCAGAAGTACACCTGTACCTCCAGCACTGAGGAGGCAAAGAAGAGTGGGTGATTGGAGCTCACTGGAACCATCAGACTAGCCAAATTAGGAGTTCCAGTTTCAGTCAAAAATCTGTCTCAATAAGGTGAGGAACTATTAGAAGGCTCCCCAGTATTGACCTCTACTCAAATGCATATACACAAACATGCACATGTGCACACACCACCCAAACATGTACATAACACACACTCACAAATGTATCAATAAGGGGGGATTAGGAAACATGAAGTCTGGATAGTGTATTTTTATCTCAGCTACCAGGTGTGCTTTGGTTCATCATGTGTATAAAGCAGAAGGAAGGTTAAAGGGATGAACTGCTATGAACAACATTCTGTGAATAAGGATCTGTATGAGCAGACTGATTACAGATAATCTCTCCTAATAGTAGCACAAACCATGTGAGAGTTGGAGAAGGAAATGAGCATTAGATGTAGTTTACATATGTATATATGATGCTAGAACTCGAACCCAGAACCAAATACATGATAGGGAGGCACTCTGCCACTGAGCTACATCCCCAACCTTAAAAATGGAGCGTGTGAAGGACCAGGTGCTGAGGATTTTTAGGTAATATTGGCCTAAATGGACTGTGACTACCAACAAATAGTAATACAGACCTTTGTTAATATCCATGTTTCTCCAGTCCAGAGCAAACATGCCCATTCCTAATTGGTAAATACCTGGGGATACATACCCTGGCTTTGGACATACATGAGGAACTTGTTAAGACTAAACTACTATGGACTTGAAAGTACTATAGACTCATTTAACTCATCCTAAAATGTTAAATTTTCTATAAATACTCAGGAATTTGGATTCTCACATAATTTTTAAAATATTTAATATATCAGCTTCTCCTATTTTGTCTTCTGTCCTGAAAAAAATGATGAAAATTTTCATTTATTTTATATTCAGAAAGCTGCTTTTCACAAAAATGTATCACTTATGGGTAACTTGTGATAGATCCCTTCTGTTACCTGAGACCAAGGCTGAAACTTTAACCCACCCTCTCCAATACCCTCAGAACATTCAGTCATTTTGATGATTGAACACAAGATGTTCTTTCCAGTTTGTGTAGTTGAGGTACCTCATTGCAGGGTAGTCTTAGACATTATAGTTTGATTATTTTAACTTTAATTTTGTGGAGAAGCATTCCTACATGGCTCAGACACATGCACGAGCTGTGCTTTCTGTACAAGCGTCCAAAGGTGGATTCCAAGGAACATTAGCACTGTGACACTCTCGTGTGCAAGGTGCCTCTTGTTTCCCCT